TGAGGAGGCCAACTTTTGAACCTGCCATTCTTTGAAGAAATCAAACTATTAAAAATTTTGGAACATTGGAGAATTCTTGCTCCTTTAAACGGAACACGTCCAGGGGTGCCTGGCTGGTTCAGTCCATAGAGCTTGCGACTCTTGATCGCGAGGTTGTAAGTTCAAGCCCCACGTTGGGTATTAAAATCTTTAAAAAAGAAAAAATTAACTGAACAAGTCCTAGAGCTCAGGAAGAAAACAAAACAAGACTATTTGTCATATCAGTGTTACAGACCAAGCCCCAGCTTCACATCCCATGCAAGTCCCTGTGCCTTGACCCAGTGTGTAAGTACTTTTGGAGGCTTCCTGGTCTTACATGTTTTTTTTCCTGCCAGCTTTGGATTCAGGTTTCAGGTAGGACAGCTGAGCAGATGAGGCAGTCAGTACTCTCCTATTATCTTCTAGTACATTTCTATTTTACCTGTCACATTTTAATCTTAGGACATTTTCTTTGTGTATATTATTCCCACAAAGATAATTATTGGTTATTTGCAGCTCATCTTTTCCCTTTTCCTGATTCGGAGCCAAGAGAGGGGACGCAGAAAATAAATGATGCCTACTTTTCAGTTTGTTTGAGGCCAGCTCTGGTCTCTAGCCCAGACACCAGGGTCTCAAAGGTGGATTGATGGATGGTTTGGGCCTTCCAGGGTCTGGGTGGAGCTTTGCCAGGATTTCTCTAGAGTTTGGGAATCTGGAGGGAGGGAGAGAGAGAGGGAGAGAGAGAGTGAGAGAGAGAGATAGAGAGATAATTCAGAAAAAAAAGTGCTGCTATTCCTCTCATGTAGTCAGAAGTCATTTTTCCAAAGTTATTTGATATTCTTGGATAGAATCCTTCCTTACATGGAACTCTCCTGCAGCTTTTAGGTTATATCATTTTTTTTCTGCCTAAAAATATCTGTTGAATAATCATAAATGCTGGCTCCAAGTGTGGAGTGTTCATTTATACATAAAACTGCTAATAGTAAGTAAGACCAGCCTCGTAGAGATGGCAAGTGGAGAAAGCATCAGAAATGAAATGGGATCCCCTCTCCTAGCACAGTTTATATCTTGATTGTCTGGGTACTGGATTTAACTTGTAAGGAAGCTGCGAATGTAATGTCCCATCTTGGGTCAGTCAGTACCATTCTCCAGCAGAGGCTTTTGTCATGGACACATCACATTGCAGTGACCGGTCAGGGGGCTGGTCATTTTTTATTTGAGGCGTACATTGGGAATTTGCCTCCAGGAATAGTCTTAGATACTATTGATCTGGTTAACCAGCCACCCACTGTTTAAATTGCAGAAGTAGCTTTCCTTTTCCTCACCTACTGTGTAAGAAGCCTAGTTAGATTTATACCTTTTAAGGAAAGATCTGTTAACACCTGTTTCAGTAGTCTTGTTAGGCAAAGCTTTGTCATGATGCTCTGTAGCCTTTTAGCGAATAATATTAATTCTACCTCTTGTTTTATTGTTGGAAGATTTTAGAAGAATGGTCACTTATTTTTCATTGATTTTTGACAAACTTGCCTCTGGTTATCTTGGGCTGCTTGGTTCCTGTAGCCCTGATTTGAGACTCATCTGATGAAGCAAGCATAGCCTGAAGTATGCTCTTGTGATTTGATTAACATGGTTCTATTTTAATATCTCTGGGGACAAAGAATATATCAGTGGTTAAAATTCTCTCTCTCTCTCTCTCTCTCTCTCTCTCTCTGTCTTTTCCTCCTCTGACAAGACACAGAATGCAGCACGAGTTGTTTTAATGCTGACTTTGGAAAAGCAGGAAATTCTTAGTGGACAAAAAATGATGAGGTTTGGGCAGTGATAGGATGTTTTACGTTATGCATTTCTGAGAACTTGTAATAGTTATGTCTGTCTGCTTTGTGGCTAGAGAGAGAAAGGAGGGAGGGAGGGAGGGAGGGAGAGAGAGAGAGAGAGAGAGAGAGAGAGAGAGAGAGGGAGGCAGGCTGCTATGATAGGAAAGGTTAAGTGCCAGGGAGCCTGCCAGGATGTGACTCACGCTCCTCAAGGCTGAGTGATGCAAGACAAGGCTGCTGCTGTCTCATTCATGTCTGTTGTCAGAGACAGGTCCCCGGGCACTGGTGTGTGTCAAAACTTTTTTTTTTAATCTCTCCTTTATTGACAGTGAAAACAGCAAAGTGGTCAGTTGGCCTCAGGATCATAAAATGCCTCCTTTTATAATAACTCCATGCCAAGATGAATACGGTTTGCTCCAATAATGACTTTTGCTCTAAGAAAAATTGATATTGGGACACAGGTGATTTGCCTGGTTTCTGAGGTAACTTGGTAGATTATAATCTGGTTGCCATAGCAACCCAGCAGCAGGGAAAATTACAGGGGCTAAACATTTGAAGAGTGGTATTTTAGTAGGATGCTTAAAAGCTCTTTACCTATCATCTTTCTCCCTGAAGAAGCGGGGTGGGGGTCAGGAATTGGCCTCCGTAAGCAGAGAAGGGATGGCCTAAATGGCTTTTGGAGGCTGGGTGCCTCAGGGCCATTCTTTGAATTGTGGCCTGGTGTCAGTGACCGCCAAGGAACCGTTACACTCTTCATGCAATGTGATAAGCAGGTAATGGGACAGAATCTGGAACATACCCCAATTCAGAAATCCCTTTTCTTGCCCGGGACTTTCCATAATACTGGTGAAGTGTACTTTGAGAACCGGCATTCGGGACATGTTGTCTGACAGTTTTGAGAGTGGTGGAAGAGAGTACGTGAATCGGGGATTGTCAGAGAATATCTGGGGCAGAGTCTTGGTGTCCTTTGATTTTTTTTTTTTTCCTCCAACTTACTAATTCTACAGGCATGTAGTATACGTCTTATCCCGAGAGGTTCCACATAAGCAAATGGTTTCTGCTGTATTACAGTGATGCTGGAATTGGTCTAAGGACTTTTAAAAGACCTAGGGAACTTTCTTTGTTGGAGTGTCTTTTTGTATTCCATTGTAGTCGAGTTATGTCCTATGTTTATGTGAAAATAAAGTTAAATCAAAACTATTTTCATGTTAAGAATGACTTTAAAAGCTCAGTTTCAAGAAAGCAATTGAAATGTTTTAATCTCTCTATGGAGATCTGAAGGGATTTCCTTTTGAGTTCTTAAAATGGCACAGTGTGTTTACATTGGTGAGAATTTGAATACTTAAGACTGAAAGATTATTGACACAGTTACCGTACAGGAAAAATAAATTGCCTTGAAACCACCGTTACAATTCAAGATAATGAGAAGCACCAGGGATGAAACTTGGACTGCTTTTCCCTGAATGATCTTGTTTTCTCCAGCTAATGTATTTCCTGATTTAAATAATTACAATATCCCAGCAGTGTCTTCTGTGGGGAATTATTAGAAGAAGGAAAATACATGGATATTAAAGGTTTAGTTTTTAAAGATCAAACAGCTTTGATCTCAAACATTTTTACCAAACATAAATTATGGTACATACAGTAAATAATGTTATCTTTTTAGGGTGAACATTATGAAAGCTTAATTTCTAAGTTAAAATAATTGTTTGTGATCGTTTTTCCTTTATGTTTTCAGACTTTCATTCCTTAAATAGAAATGGTTATCAAGCACATACTCTATGCCAGGTACAGTTTTGAATACTTCTTTTATGCCAGGCCTTGTATTTCTAGAGCCAACGTTAAAGAAAGAAGGATAGACCCTAAAATAATGGCTTAATTAATTGCAGTTGTAAATTCTAGGAAGGAGAAGTGTAGGGGTGTGTGTGTGTGTGTGTGTGTGTGTGTGTGTGTGTGTGTGTGTGTGCGCGCGCGCGCGCGTGGGAGATCCAACCTGTCCTGAGAGGCAAATACCACTTTTCTTTGGTTTGGTTTGGGTTTTTTTAGATTTTATTTTTAAGTAATCTCTACGCCCAACGTGGGGCTCAAACCTACAACCCCAAGATCGAGAGTAACAACCCTCTACCCACTGAGCCAGCCAGGTGCTCCAGCAGACAATACTTCTTAAGCTGACAAGAATGAATAGGCATTAGGTGGTCAGGCAAGGAGTAAGGTGGGTGGTAGGCAGTGAAGGACGACAGGAAGATTATTACAGGCAGAGGGAACGGTATGCTTGATGGTTTCAATGCAGGGAGGGACAAGGCTTGCCCCGAGAGCTAGAAGATGAATATGACCCTGACATCCTTTCAGTTTCCAGAAACGTACAGTAATTATTTTAATAGTGTTAACCTTGCACATGATGATTTTCAAGTAAGCTTGGATTACATCTTTTAATTTGTATTTAGATATAAATTAGTGATTTTTTTTTTTCTTTTGTTACCTAAAGGAACGAGATTAGAGCTAAAACTGTAAGGCTCTTGAAAGAACATACTTTGCCATTGCTGTGCTTGGTCTAGTCTTGGAAGTTGTCTGCTAATATTAAATATTTATGTTCACTGACATTTAGATAATAGACTTAAAGATTTGAGAGTTTGAGGCCGATTTGTGATATTATTCATTTATTTTATAGTGTGTATCATTATTTCTAGATCTTCCAAACATTTTTCTTATAAATTGCTTTCTTTGTTTACACAGTAGAATCCTATAACCCAGGTCAGTAATGGACACTTGGGAACAATAGTATACGGTATACAATAGTGTTTAGGCCAGAACTATATTTCTCTGTGCCATTTTCCTTTATAAGTATAGTTTCTGGTCTTTTTTCTTCTTTATCTGTTGTTTCTAAATTAGTGAAAGAAAAGAAGGAATTGTGTGAAAGAAAAAAAATTGAGTTTTTAGGGTACATAACATCATAAACAACACGGGAGAATTCACTTAGCTAAATTCAAATGCACGTATTTCTCCCCCTTAAATTTGAACCAGGTCTAAGACGTATCCTAAGTTTTGTGTTTATACAGGATTCCGTGCCACATACTTCCTGTCTAGTACATAAATTCAAGTAATAAAACCATTGAAGAGAAACCCCAGATGCTCTAGTATTAAATTGAAATTAATGTGTTATTTTGGCAGGTCATTCTCGTTCAAGTTAATCCAGGTGAGACTTTTACAATAAGAGCGGAGGATGGAACGCTTCAGTGCATTCAAGGTAAGGAAGTTTCTGTAAGCCTTCTAATCAGAGGGGTTTCTCCTTTATTTATTGTTTTAAGGAAGTAAAGTTTTTCTTTGTGTCTGCATGTTCTTTTCCAGAAGTAAAATTTATCTTGGATTTTTTAAAAACTTTTTTATCCTTCTGTAAAATAGGGTCTCCTTACTGCTGACGCAGGCCTGTGATGTGTAAGGGACAAAATCAAAATGCCTCTGGTATTCTGTCGGCTTTTACGTGAATTAATTTAACTTGGGAAAGCTTGCAGTATGTTAATATATTATGGAATTTGGAAAATGTTGAGATTTTGAAAGACTTTAAATTCTCAGCTGAGAACACGAACTTGTTCAAAGTAGATAAAAATTTCAAATATATATTGTGATGCTAACCAGATGATGTTTTTAGAGGTAAAGTCTGTATGAAGTGTCTGTTATTTGCTACTGATTAACAGAGGACTCTAAAATTTAGTGGCATAAGACAACAACGTTGATCATCTCACAGTTTTTGTGGGTCAGGGATTTAGGCACAGCTTCACTGTGTCCCACGGTCCCGGGCCTCTCAAGACGCTGAAATACAGGTGGGGGCTAGAGCCACAGTCATTGGGAGGCATGGCTAAGGGTCAATCTGTTTCCAGGCTGGCTCGAGTGGTTGTTGGCAAGATCTAGGTTTTTGTGGGCTGTTGGCGGGAGGCTTCACTCAGTTCCTCGCTAAGTGGCTTCTGCACGTGGCAGCTGGCTTCATCAGAGCAGCAACTAGAGGGCAAGAGGGCAGTACTAGGTCCCGCCCACTCGAGAAAGGGAATTGCACAGGGTGGGAGCACTGGCCGGAGGGAATCATTGGAGGCTCTTTAAGAGCTGCTCGCCCCGGTCTTCCCTCTGCCCGTAGTAAATTATGTTCCTCCATATGCACAATACTCCCTTGCAAGTTCTCTGTTACAGCATCAACCCCGAGTCCAGAATCTTGTCATCTAAGTAAGTTCCAGGTGTAGGGTGACACTCCTTGGGTGTAGTTCTTTCAGTACAGCTCCTAGGGCATTTCATTTAATTTCTAGTTGTGTAAGACAATGCCTACTCTCTATAGTTCACTTTGGAAAGAAGTGACTTAGGTAGAGTTCCGTGTGGGAAGCTCAATCCAGATCTGTAGTTTGCCTGTAAACTCTACCGTGTGGGAGGACACTGTTTGTGACTGCTCTTCTTGGCAGTGATTGGGATTATAGGGATTTGCCTGTAATGGCAAATTCAATACTAGGTTATTGGCTGGACTAGAATCTGACCAGAGGCCTTATTTTTAATTTTCTGGACTTGTTCACCAGTATATAAATGAATGAAGGGAAATGCCCGTTAGTTTGAGTTTTCCATAATGAGCTGCATGGAAAAAGGGTGGTTTTTCTATTGCTTTGTTTAATAGCAGAGCATGCTGCTTTGTGGTTTTGCTACTTGGTTTTGTACCTATGAGAACAAAATTTAGGGAAAAAAAAACCTTTTACTTTTGGAGAAATGAGTGTATTTTCAAAGATTCAAGCCTAATGAATTTTAATTGCAGTTAATCTGAAATGACTTAACCATTCTATTAATGATTTTTACCGATTGCATTTCTCTGACCATTATGTTCCTGAGGTTGATCTTTGGTGTTCTAAAGCATTTAAAAACTCAATCTAGGCTTTGGTGATGAACCATACAAAGAAACTTCAGGTAAAAGAAGAAAGGAAATAAATATATTAAAATAGTATGAGATACAGAATCTTTTATGTATGTATAGTTCTGTAATAAACAGATACTGTCAACAAATAAAATCTCAAGATCCACTGTCTTTAAAAAAAACCACTCTAGAAAAATTTGGTAAAACGTCATTTCACCTACATAGAATGAACCCAGTATTTTCAGTTCAGTAAGAAAGCATTTGAGCTTCTGGTCATGGTCACATTGGAGCCCCGTGAATTAATTGGCAGGTAGACTGTGTTCCTCTACAACTCGAGTGTGTGCAATATAATCTATAAAAAGCAAATTGCTGAGTAGATCAACATATATGAAATCCACTCTTTCGTGCCACCTGCTTTTATTGTTCTGTGTCTAAAGTCTGTGCATGCATGCATGCCTGTGTGTGTGTGTGTGTGTGTGTGTGTGTGTGTGTGTGTGTGTGTGTG